ACACATGAGGGAAATGTTTCCACATTTAGATGAGGGAGGACTGTCACAGTTAGAGAAAAAAGGCAGGCCAGGAACGCTGAGCTACCTTTTTACAGATGTCGAGCAGCGCTTTGTAGAACTTTTTGTCAACACTCCTGAAGATGTGAAAGTGAAGCACAAAGAGGCAACAGACGCCAGCATATTTATCTCTCTGGTCTATCTCTGAAGGTTCACCTGAAAACAATACAGACACACAGACATAAATCACTTTGAGGCTGCAGCAAAGTAAAGTGAAACCAGTCTATTCAAAGAAGAGAAACTGACCAATTTTGGATTCAACATTAGTGAATATGGTGCGAATGTTGAAAGCAAACTCCTCAGCAAAGGCGCTGTTTTTGGCAACAGCTACTCCTTCCCCAGGATCATCGAATCTCTGCTCCACACAGGCCTGTCACAAAGTTGTAATCATCACGAGGTTAATGCTGCTCAGAGGACACGAACAGAATATATTCACTCAAGTATTCAGTGACCTGTTCTTACAGTTGAGAAATTGATATCTGTTTGCTTATTAGCAAAAAACTAAAACCACTGACTTCTCAGCAAAACAGCTCAACCTCAGAAAGTCAATTCTAACACATAACAACAGCCTGAAAGAAATGAAGTCACCTGCAGTATCATGCCATCCAGCAGCTGTCCCTCAAGCTTGAGCAGGAGCTTTTCAAACGGTTTCAGCTTCTCTTCAGGAATGGAAAACTTTCCCGGGTTATGGTGCACAGATTTTAACAACCTTCAACAAGAGAATTAAATTATAAAAGACTATAGCCTACACAAAATACATATTAAAGGAGCTGTATACGATATTAGAGCATTAATATAGCAGCAGACAACTATTTGCTACGTAAAAATATAGTGGACTAACAGCGTCCTGAACAGAGAATGAAGACACCCTTCCTTTTGCCTGTGCTGTAATCCAAGTTCTGTTTGTTGTTGTGGTGGATGGTCGAGCTGCGGTTGCATGTTAGTCCTTCTACATTATGTGTGTACCCAACTGGCTAGCTAATCGCTACCACTTCACACTGTGCTCATATGACGATTACCTCTGATATCCGGATATCGTTTTCAGGAAAGCATAGCACTCACCCTCTGGTCCCCTCTCCATGTTGACACCATTTACTCTGTCAACACTTTTGTGGTTGTTAGCACTGTTTGTGCAACTAGCTCCGTTAGCTGTTAGCCCATGGCTCAGCCACCTGTACGTTGAGAACCGTGCACAGACGACCTCTGACTCATACATACACTCTGAATATCGTATAGAGCTCTTTTAAAGCAAGTATGATGAATAAATCTTGTACTGCTGTTTGGTTTAAAGACGTAAAATTAAGTGTAAATGCAGTAAATGTTGGCAAAAATACAAAATATCTTTCTAGAGCAAATCAATGTACTTGCATTTTAGTTAAGTTGAAAACAGCAATTTTGTAGGATATCATGTGATTAAACTGGGCTAAACAGTAATAACTGAGATGCATATTATAGCAAATAATTAGGGTCTTGCTTTGTTTGCTATTCCAAGACTATATGTTTTAGTAATTAATGACGTGACATTTTTTGATAGTTTTTCCTTAGCTGTATGATTGATTTCAATCAACTTTTATGAACCACTGAAAGTACAATGAGCTGTCTTTAACAGGGGAATGTCTTCTGTGCAAAAAAAAGGAGAATTTATGAAATTTAGCATTTCCTTTTTCTCACTGGTTGCAATAGACGTGTTTGTGTGTGTGTGTGTGTGTGTGTGTGTGTGTGTGTGTGTGTGTTTACCTTTTATACATCTTCCAATGATCTTTTAGTGTGCCGTGATTTTCCATGATCTCATCGAGTGTGAGCAGAACCACTAACAACTCCCCGAGGTGTTCGTACACTATCTGCAGAGGGAACACAAAACAGGCATGGTAAGAAATATTTAGAGATAGAGAACAGAGACTGAAGACATGAAAGGAATATAATCTTAAAACCCACCTGGAAATGGACACCTGATGACTCAATGATTTTTGTTGCACCCCTGAGAGATGAGAGAAGAAATGCTTTTGTACATTTTGTTTTACGCTGACACAGAGCCAAACATGCAATAAGTACTTGAACCAGCAATGCAGTCTGTTGTTTTGTCTTCATGTGAAGTGCACAAAGGCTCTTTTGACAACATGGGTATTCGAGCCAATCTGACAAGAACACTACATTCACTGTGTAACGTTACTTGCTTCTGTGGTAGGATCTTACTTGTTGCTGTTGTAGAGGGCAGCCAGCTGATGAACAATGTTGACCACCACTTCATAACATCTTGACACAAAACAGGACAGTTCCTACCAACAGACAAAGAGAGAAACTATCAGTGTTTTCTGGGTTTCAATAAACTGCAGTATGTTATGACAGAAAAAAAAACTTTATTGGCTACCTGAAGGAAAGAGATAAATCTGCCCATCTGAATCTGGGAGTCTCCTTCAACAACGCTGGTGTCAGAGACTGTAACACAAATGCACATAAATATGTTATTTCTTAATCAAAAAGCACTGTGTACCACTGAGGGCAAACCAAAAATTGAAGTAAGTAGTGACAGCTGACAGATTACCTCCCTCTCCATAGTACAGTAAGCCATTGTAGAACTTGGTTTCAGCCTGCAAAGGAACATAAATTTAGCACACAGTAATAACATCTATTTAGAGTGATGTTGCTTAAATGTTCCTGCTGGAGTTTTAGACCTCTAGTAACACTGCAGACTTGTTTTTCTATGAGTGGGTCATTGTTTTGTTTATCTCATGCACAAGTGATGCGATACACAATCCTGCCAATGGTGTCACACTATTCCACTGATCAACAGGTGGCAGTTACACAAAATATGCAGCAACGTGCCAACAAGGGCAGGGAGGAAGACCACAAGCTGGTAAACAAAGCTGGATTTAAAATATGTTTTAGAAACTGGCTTTGCAAATGTTTTACAAGGAAGGGAATGCATTCATCACACAAGTTAGAATTCAAGGATGCACATTATATTAATCCTTCAAACTCCACAGGGCATCTTTAGGTAAGAGTAGGCAGATGTGATGAAAAACGCAAGCCAAACTAACCTCAAAATTAGCACAATGTCTTGACCATACTTACCTCATACTTGAGCTTCTTCACTTCACTGCAGAGAGCAGCATAAACTGTGATGACTTTGTTCAGCACCTGCACACAACACACAATAACAGTCATCAAAAAAGGAAAACCTTTGTGCATACAAGACCCAAAAAATGACAGACCCTGTCTTTATTTACCTTGTTGTCTGTTTTAATTAACTCCAGTAGTGATGACTGCTCGTATGGGAGAAGCTGAAAGAGAGTGGAAAGTACTGAGGAGGAAGTTGCACAAGTGTAAACTGTGGAAAAACAACGTCAGTCTTTTCACGTTTCATGTACAGCCACTAGTGTTTGGTGTTTTACCTTCAGGGCGATGGGGTCCAGAGTGAAGTCCCAAACATCTCCAATGGAGTCATCCAGAGCCTCCTCGATACCCCTCAGCTGGGAGGTGTACTCCTCCAGAAACTTGCTGTAGTTCTTCAGTTGAACCTCTGTGTGTATTTCTGTAGGGTGGAGGGTTTAATTAGGGACACTTGGGCTGATGCTGCGTTTAAAGACTCACTCTAATGTAAACATTAATGTTGTTGCAGCTAGTTAGCAGTTAACACTACCAGGCCCATTATCTTTGCTAAAATATTCAAAGTAAAGAGAGGTACCTTTTCTAGCAATTAAACTTCCGGTCTTTTTACGGCCTGCATATGAATGTTAGAGCAACAAATAGGCACATAATACACACTTAAACCCATGTCATCCACAACTGCAGGAAGCCTGACATACTCACTAGAAAACAAGACTATAGCTCATTTTGCTAACTTTAACAGAAGGAAGTTGGCGCTACACGCTGCTTTTGACATTATAAATAATATATTATGTGAGAGCTACTGTTCAAACTACTGCACTAACGTGTCGTTTAGCTGTCAAACTGCTCAGCTGTAACTGTCTGCTAACGTATGTGACTGATGTTGGTGATTAACGTTAGCAACTATGGTGTCACTTAATTATACCATTACATTACAACTGGACTGCGTGTTATGGACGTTCAGTTGTAATAAATATAGCAAAATAAATTTAAAACGTGTCCATTTGATTTGTTTGCAAGCAACTGTAACATTAGTTGCGTGCCAGCAAATAGACAGTGCCTAGTGGCATAGCATCCTGCTAGCAGGGTAAGCTAGCTCTGGAGGCTAACGTCAGTTAGCATTAGCCTGTTGCTACGTTACATTGCAGGTCAGGACCAGACGCTTTACTTACTCTGTGAACCGTCGTCAAAACGGTCAAACTCCCAGTCAGGTGCGATGGTTTCTACCGCCATAATGGTGGCATCAACTGTAACCCAAACACTGCTGTTAGACACAGGAGCTACACGGTCCCATGATCGGTCTCATGATTTTGTGAATGGGCGCTAGTGTTCATGGGAAATGGAGTCTAGAGGAGATGTCACTGGCAATGAGTAGATAGATAGATAGATAGATAGATAGATAGATAGATAGATAGATAGATAGATAGATATTGTTTGGGGTTTGTTCTTTCTTTATTATTTATATTTTTAAATAAAAACGGCCAATTTAGGTGTAACAACCTGCACAGGCTTTTAAAACCTGTGGTATGATAAATAAACACAACATATGGTGCTAACAAAACTACAACAACTATGCTATAATTTGGTCACAGGCCAGCACTGAACTCGCTGTGCTTAACAAATACCTGTCAAATGTGTGTATGTGTCATGCTGTCTGTCTTATACCACTGCATCTGTCACTATGTTTGAGTATGCATGTGCTGGACATGACAGAGGTGGTGAAAGAGTGAAAGTCATGTGGTGTGTGAGTGTGTGTGTGTGTATGTGTACGGTGGGGGGAGTTGGCATAATGTCACACTGAAGGCTCAGCTCACCATTCAGCGGACGACAGAGGCCCCAAGGAAGAGTCACGGTTAGCAGTGGAGTGTGAGACTAGATGCCTCTTCTTCTCCTATGGTTTCCCATTAAAGGTAAGACACTTATATACTACAATTCTACTTATAAATACAGACCAAATGTTGTCCAGACTATCAAATTAAAATACAAATACTGTACGTACATATTGACACATTGATTGAAGCAGTATCAGTGTGAGCAGAGCTGCTGCAGAGAGGGAGACATGCCACAAAGAACTAAGCATTACAAATTAATTTGATACGAGAATTAAAACTTTCTCTTATGTTGTCCTCAACGCTATGATCGCAATCTTGGAGATGATTAGTGCCTATGTGAGAAACCCTTTCATAATACAGTGTTTGATGTAAAATGCTTTCCTTTAGATATCCATGTGCATCTGCAGATCTGTGCATACAGGAGTCCTTATAGATAATATTACAAAGCCTTGAATGATTAAACAAGTTTTTGGCCCGTAACAGTGTGGCTCTTGTAGGTTTTCCAATCATTTTAAGGGGTTTGATGATTAGGAGTTGCTTGTGTATGAATATTCAACATAATAAAATTATGTATATCTTCATTAAAGATTCATTTCATAACTTCCAAGCAGTAGCTTCAGTTTATATGGACACTTCAAGCTTGTCAACAGGATATAGCAGATTATTCAGCGTATTAGTGATGCATTTTCACATACCATCGACAAGTATGTTTGTTGATATGCATATTTTCAGCAGAATGGGTATAAAAAGAAGTTATATTTTGTTTTGCTCCTCGCTCACACAGCTTGATAACCTCAGCTGTTCAGTACCTGGTCATCTCTTAGGAATTTCCAATGAAGAGCGTTGTCTGTGTCGGACAACACTGCCTCAGTGTCACTGATGTGAAACAGGCATGAAGAATGATAACGCATTCTGTCTGTGCCATCAGATGACTGTGAGACAGCCTCTGCGACAGACAAGATTTCTACATGCCAAAGTCGCGCACTTGATTTTTTAAGGAAGTAACATACAGTATCACAGTACCTGTCTGTACAGTATGAGTGTTAACAATGGAATACTGAGCTTTTGACTTAAAGGGACAGTTCACCTTAAAATAAAAAACACATTTTGTTTTCTTTAACCTGTTGTGCTATTTATCAGTCTAAACTGTTTTGGTGTGAGTTGCTGAGTGTTGGAGATATCAGGTATAGAGATGTTTGCCTTCTTGAATATAATGGGAATAGATGGCACTTGGCTCGTGGTGCTCAAAGCCCCCCCAAAATATAGTCGGGCAGGAGAAATAGGTTCCACTTGCCATTTGTCACTGCTCTGCAGAGGTCCTATCCTAGAGAGAGCACAAGTAATCAAGTCTTCTCACACTGAAAATCACAAGCAACGGACAGGACAAGGGTCAGGAACGTGTTAGGCTCCCCAGGCAATGCTTTATCTGCTCACCTGTGGAGTTCATCTGCAGCAGGCATCATCTGGAGTACTAAGACATGCTTTCTTGCTCCTCTGTGAAGACTGGTGCTCTCCCTTAACTCTCAACAGCATTATTCACACCTCATCAGGTACCTGGTCTGATTTGAGGTCTCCTCACCAATCTGAAACTGACTCATCATGGCTTCATAGACCTCATCCATTTAATAACTATGAGATTAGTGTAAGATAATAAAGTAGCTGCATTTGGCTATTGCAGGAAACAACTGTGAAACTAGCAGAATAGCAGAAGTTATATTGTTATGAGCCTAAAAGCCTAAATAAAGAGTGGTTGTAGTATGTCAATGACCTTTCCATTTGAGTCCTGGTGTCCAAATTATATGAAAAAGTGGGTTCATTATGAAACGTTGCAAAAATCTGCATTTTGTTCCATTAGCATGGACACCAATTCAAGATGGCCGCCAGACGAACCCCATGGGCCATGAGTTGACCTTGGCATCAGGACAACATCTTACCTAGACACCATCAGGGTCCTAACAAAACAGGTTACCAAAAAAATTGCAATGTGGGTGCATGGGAGCCTATTTCTCCTGCTAAACTAATACTATGGAGAAACTTCACAGCATTGTGTCTTCCCAGAAATCTAACCCGGTTAGTCAAGATAATCCACAGACCTTGTCATGAACAGTTTCATGTAGGGACTATTTTCTTTCTAGGCTACCAACTACACCCGTCAACTGCATCACTGTGCAGAAGAAAGTGTGCATACACTGCTAGATCATGCCATTATTGTTTACTTAATGGCTTAATCTTACCCTGTCAAGAGCACAAGCCACCATTTCATGAAAAGATGCACACTTCCTTATTTGTGGTGATACAGTTGGCAGGTGTCATTCAGCAATAAGAAAATAGTTCCTACATGAAACTGCTCACAACAAGGTCATGTTTTCTGGAAAAAGGACATTGCTGTTGAGTTTTTCAAAGTTATTTTTTTAGCGTGCAGCACCACAAGCCAAGTGCCATCTAGTTCCATTATATTAAAGAGACAGCTGATGTCTCAATGGCTGATATCTCCAACAGTCTGCAACTCACACCAAAATAATCAAGTTTGTATTTTTGATTTTGGAGAACCGTCCCTTTCACTTTTACAGCTATTTATGCTATGGTTTTATTAATCTACCAAGTCCTTATTGCTATTCTTTTTGGTGTTCCTCATTTTCTCTTTCGGCCACCTGTTTGTCACCAGAGTAGGTGCTACTGTTTCTCAGGAGCCAGAGCAGCAGGTATAACATCCTGCCAGCTTTACACCATGTCTGTCCCAGAGTCACAAGATAAGAAACTGCTCCTACGCGGCTCTGAGGGCAGAGGCACCAGCCAGCAGTACGGAACTCACCCGTCCTCATCTCAACGCTCCAGAAGTCCACAACATTTTGGCTCTGATGGGAATATTTCACCTGTCAGCACCAGTCTCCGTTATGAGCCACAGGAGTGCACTGAGACAGACTTTCTGCTCCCCAAACATCTCTATGGCAGCTCAAGGTTCAATGAATCCACCAGAATAAAGGATGCAGGTGGCTCCATTGCCCCTGCTGAGTCAGTCTGCTGTGTGGTGCTTCAGATCCTGGTGCCATTTCTGCTGGCTGGACTCGGGACTATCTCTGCTGGGATGCTCCTTGAAGTGGTTCAGGTGAGGAAACAAAGGAGTGGTTTAGTAAGGTCATCATTTCTTGCCTTTTCCAAATGCCTGGAAGCAAAATCAAGGAGACTGTGTATAAAAAAAGCATTCACATTTTGCCAGGAAGTAAAGAACTGAAGAGTTGAAACATGGAAGTTATAAAAGAAACAAAAATTGATTTGACTTTCAAAGTTTGTGTGTTATTTTGAGTGAGCATCAACTTGGCTGAAAACAAAGAGTGTTTGTTGTGTTGGTGTTGACTGTGGTTCATCTTCTATATTAAGTTTAAAACCTTGTTTTTCTGGCAGAACTGGGACGTGTTTCAGGAAATCACAGAGCTCTTCATCCTGGTCCCTGCAGTATTAGGCATGAAGGGGAACCTGGAGATGACTCTAGCCTCCAGACTCTCGACTGCTGTGAGTGTGTGTGCATGTTGACAACCCCCAACCCCTCAACATTTACACACAAGAATTTAATCCTATCACACATACATTGAAAAAGTGACATCATGTCAGTAAACTACTTATGATATGGACACAATTACAAAGAAATATTATGAGGCATAAGTGAGATGTGTTTAGAGCATTTCAGTATAAAACAACACTTAACACTATGCGGTGAAATGGGCAGAGATAGGCAACAGAGTTGTAGTGAATGTGATTAACATAAGAAATTGTTTGACAGGGTAACTACAACCTCTTTCTCAGAATTATATTATTGCCGTCTTGCATCATGGATTTTATGTCCTTGTGTGAAACTCCTCACAGACCTGTGAAGACCATAGCAGCAGATAAACTTACAGTACAATATTCTGCGTGACAAACTGATGCTGACAATAGTCCAACAAAACAAATCATCCTAAATTATGTTTTCCTGGACAAAGACAGATTATAATAATCAAATATTACCATAATTATTGATTGTAGAGCTCAGTTATTCGCCAAAACTATTAAAAACACACTGATAAGCAATGATGTTGCACTAGGTGATCGTAGATGGTTTATGTAACAGGCCTTCTGGGCACAGAAAAAGGAGCCCAGGGGGGTGCCAAGGGGCCCCTCCCGGCCTTCATCTGCATAATGTAACTCAAGTTAACACATGTCAACCAGAGACTCACAATGGCCTCAAAGAGATGCAAAGGAGCTGCAAAAAGACACAGTAACTACAAAAAGAGGAAATACAACCATAAAGTCTGTGTGTCTTCCTCCCAGGTAATAGAGGTGGGGGGCTTTTTGCATATCTGTGCCCAGGGGCCCATTGTCTCATAATGAGCCCATATAGGTGAGACGTGGACATCCTGTGGAAATGAAGTGAACTGCATCACAATATTAAGATTGTAAAAGCACTGTAACTGTTAGTGTGATCACTCTGCCGATAAAAGGTTGAGGCAAACCCAAGTCATCACTGCTGCACTGGTGCATTTTCCAATGGCCATATATCCTAGTGTTGTGATCACTTTATTTCTATATCGTTATTGTGTTGGGTGGGAGATGTGATGATCATGATCTAATCTGTAGCGTTTCATTCACTCACTGTCATTCATCATTATTTCTCCTTCCTCTTTGTCTTTTCACCATTTTCTCCCCTGCATGAGAAATCCTTAAGCCTCTTAAATTTCCTCTGCCCTACTCCAAACAGTTTTTCACCTTAAGAGCTAAGATGCTTTGTGAAAAACTTTTATTTTTGTCAGGAATTTAACTGTAAGGGTAAAACCTTAGAAAAGTCATAATTATACTAATTTTGAAGGAACAAGTCTTTGTACAAAGGAGCTTTTTGAATAGGACCCCAGGTGCCTAAAGTATGGATTAATCCGTGGCTGAAAATAGTCCCGACAAATGCACTATTTACATTTGCTAACAAAAAAAAAACTACAGTGACCAGCTGCTTCAAGCAACTGTTTAGCCTTTCTTTTTTTACATTTGATTAAAGGTAATTTGTGTCCAGTTTCCAAGAATGCATCTTCAGTAGGAACTAATGAGCCGAGTGGCTTGAGTGCCACAGCCGGGTTAGGGAAGTGCGAAAGTAACAAGAGAAACAAGTTTTTGACAGTAAGAAAAATATATAACATCACCACCTTTAAGATCACTATTTTTCTAGGGTCATAGCTTGAAGCAATACAGTGACAAGCGATTTGATTTGTTAATTTCTCAATTTATGTTGTAATCAATTACTTTTTAGTTTACTTCTCACTGTATGTTTGTATGCTTGTCTAATATAAAATTAATGTATTATTTTTAAGCACTGTGTGAGATGTTTGCCAGTCTATGATCAGTTTTATGCTTTTGCTGAATGACATACTCTCTGAACAAAAACGGTGCTAAACAGTACACAAATGCAATGCTTTGGCTTGTAATCATAAGGAAACCTGTCTTGGTGCTATGGCGCCCATTTTTTAAAGGTGCTATACAGCGCCTTTGTCAAATATGGGACCATTGAGGGTGTGATATAGCACTATATTGTTTTAACTTTTTAAGCCTGGGGGCCCTTGAATGATGCCAGATTACCACGGACAAGTTAACAGGTTTCTAAATGATACTTTTACTTCAAATATAAATCATTAATAATCATTACTTTAAAAAAAAAAAAAATCAGGATCTTGTACTAAATTCTTACTGAGAAACACAATATGTTACCATTACAAACCTGAAATATTTCCATGCACATGTAAAAAGCTTGAGAGCTGCTATAATGTTCTCTGGAAATTCACTGCTTGTAGGCTATTTTAATGCACTATTTTTATTATTTCCCCAGTAAACTGAACTAAATAAGCTGAAACACCTGTGGAGACCATTTCAAGAACAATACAGGATCTGTGTTCTGTACTCTTTCTTCAGCTTAGTTTACTTTACTGGGGAAAGAACCAGTAGAGAACCTCTAAAGAACCATAGAGGGGCTTAAAAAGTTCCTTTTGTAACAGCGGTGCTATATTACCTCAATCATAGCCATTTAAGAGGCTCTAGTATTTCTATTCCGGATGAGATCTTTTGTTGTTAGAGCTGGTGTTCAAAGTTCATCCTTGACTTTGGAATCATCAGCTGACAAAAATCATTCAGTTAAAATCCATTTATTAGCTGTTGTGCAGCTTTCAGTCACATGATCTTCATCAGCAAATTGAGATTGCCCAGTTGTCATGGTGTGCGTGTTCAAATGTATTATTGCTAATGAGTTAACACATCTCTGATGTTCACAGGTAAACACAGGAAAATTGGAACCTGCTGATGAAAAGTGGATGTTGATTGCTGGGAACTTGGCACTTAAGCAGGTGCATTATTTTTGTTTGGGAAAAACAACTTTGTGGCTAATTGTGTATGTCTGTATCTTCCAATTAACCATTTCTTTATCAATACCCATTATTCTGCACAATTTTGTGCGATCTACCATGACTTGCAGATATTTCTATACAACTTGTATTTAACAGCTACAAGCCACAGTGCTCGGCCTGCTGGCCTCTTTGATGGCGACTCTGTTGGGCTGGATGGCAGAGGGAAAGATGCCCTTACAGCACGTAATGCTCCTGTGTTCATCCAGCGTTTCTACCTCCTTCATTGCTTCATTGCTGCAAGGTAACAACACAACCTGCCGTCACCTTTAACTGCTGTTCTCAGACGGGTGCACCACACTCCAGCACACATCATCCTCATATCTGTTTGTACCTGATGACATCCAAGTTTCTCCCTCTCTGCTTCACCCTTGACCTCAGGAGTCGATTAAGCTTAATTATTCATCCTCTATAAATGTTCAGGTGCTGACTCCTGAGTTTCCGTGGAATCCATTATATCCTTGCTCTGTTTTGGGCCAGCTTCACACATCCTATCATTCTTCACTGCAGTTTCTGTACAGTGCTACAAACTGTACCAATTAATACTTTGTTTTTTTAAGCTCCCTCAGAGTTATTCTTTGACCTATTTTCTTGGCAAACACCCCTAAATACCCCCCAAAAAGCACTTTATCAGGAAATAGTGCTCTTGTTTTTTTTCTATGAGCTGCTCTGCATGATGAAAATTATTCTAGAAATAGAAGTATGAACAGAAGGACTGCGGCAAGGTGCGTCCAAGCCATTTAAATCAATTCTGCATGGTGTTTGCCACTTTTGGCTGCAGAATGTCTTCTGATCAACATGCAATTTGAATTTCAGGCACAAACTGATTTTGACAGGCTCAGTGCCACAGAGGCAGATGTGTGGCTACATGCACAAGACGTACCCCTAGGTCCTAGTTTCCTTCTCTTTTTGCTCCCTTTTTTCTTTATAATTAAAACTTTACAATTTTACTGAAATTAAGAGTCCAGATCCATTCTAGCTCCATTCATGTTGAAATTAAACATGGTTATCAGCTCTTTCTGACAGCATAAATACCTTCAGGACTGATCACAGGTCACTTTACAGATTAAGAGCTTAACCTTGTTTTTAACCTCTGCAGGTATTATCATGGTGGGAGTGATCATTGGGTCCAAGAGGTTCGGAATCAACCCTGACAATGTGGCCACACCCATGGCTGCCAGCTTTGGGGATCTCATCACTCTTGCCTTGCTGGCCTGCTTCAGTTACTGGTTCTACTCCCTCATAGGTAAAGAGAGACAAGGACAACAAGACACTCTGGTAGGCACACACACACGAGAACCACGGATCGATTGCTGAACGAGTCTACCAGGCACAGGCACAGGTGCCCCACTGGCCATCACCTGCAAAATGTCACTCAAATTAAGATGTATCGAACAGGAAGAGACATAAAAAGATCACAAAGAGATGCTAAGGAACTGCAAAAAGACACAGAATGATTAAAAACGTGCAAATCAACCACAAGGATACACAGAATGACTATAAAGTGGCAAAAGATGACCAAAAATGCACAAAATTACCTCAGTAAGAAACAACATTACATAAACAGCTACAAAAAGACACAAAATGACCAAAAATAGACCAGAAATGACTGTAAAGAGACACAAAACAGGCAAAAAAGAACACAAAACTACCTCAAAGAGAAACAAAATTACCTAAAACAGAGCCTAATGACTACAAAAAGATACAGAACAACCACAAAGAGACACAAACCCACTAAAAGGTGAACATGCACAACCACCACAAAGTCTATAGGAGAGGTGGTGGGACTCTTTGACCACAACAGTGTGAACAGCAGGGCTTGTAATTTCAATTTACAGCCAACAGATGGTACTCATGGTGCTATAACTAACACATTCATGAAGATCAGAAACCTCACACAAGTTCAGACTGATTCCAGGTTGAAAATAAAGATATACAGTACAGGCCAAAAGTTTGGACACACCTTCTCATTCAATGCGTTTTCTTTATTTTCATGACTATTTACATTGTAGATTCTCATTGAAGGCATCAAAACTATGAATGAACACATGTGGAGTTATGTACTTAACAAAAAAAGGTGAAATAACTGAAAACATGTTTTATATTCTAGTTTCTTCAAAATAGCCACCCTTTGCTCTGATTACTGCTTTGCACACTCTTGGCATTCTCTCCATGAGCTTCAAGAGGTAGTCACCTGAAATGGTTTCCACTTCACAGGTGTGCCTTATCAGGGTTAATTAGTGGAATTTCTTGCTTTATCAATGGGGTTGGGACCATCAGTTGTGTTGTGCAGAAGTCAGGTTAATACACAGCCAACAGCCCTATTGGACAACTGTTAAAATTCATATTATGGCAAGAACCAATCAGCTAACTAAAGAAAAACGAGTGGCCATCATTACTTTAAGAAATGAAGGTCAGTCAGTCCGGAAAATTGCAAAAACTTTAAATGTGTCCCCAAGTGGAGTCGCAAAAACCATCAAGCGCTACAACGAAACTGGCACACATGAGGACCGACCCAGGAAAGGAAGACCAAGAGTCACCTCTGCTTCTGAGGATAAGTTCATCCGAGTCACCAGCCTCAGAAATTGCAAGTTAACAGCAGCTCAGATCAGAGACCAGATGAATGCCACACAGAGTTCTAGCAGCAGACCCATCTCTAGAACAACTGTTAAGAGGAGACTGCGCCAATCAGGCCTTCATGGTCAAATAGCTGCTAGGAAACCACTGCTAAGGAGAGGCAACAAGCAGAAGAGATTTGTTTGGGCCAAGAAACACAAGGAATGGACATTAGACCAGTGGAAATCTGTGCTTTGGTCTGATGAGTCCAAATTTGAGATCTTTGGTTCCAACCGCCGTGTCTTTGTGAGACGCAGAAAAGGTGAACGGATGGATTCCACATGCCTGGTTCCCACTGTGAAGCATGGAGGAGGAGGTGTGATGGTGTGGGGGTGTTTTGCTGGTGACACTGTTGGGGATTTATTCAAAATTGAAGGCACACTGAACCAGCATGGCTACCACAGCATCCTGCAGCGACATGCCATCCCATCCGGTTTGCGTTTAGTTGGACGATCATTTATTTTTCAACAGGACAATGACCCCAAACACACCTCCAGGCTGTGTAAGGGCTATTTGACCAAGAAGGAGAGTGATGGAGTGCTGCGGCAGATGACCTGGCCTCCACAGTCACCGGACCTGAACCCAATCGAGATGGTTTGGGGTGAGCTGGACCGCAGAGTGAAGGCAAAGGGGCCAACAAGTGCTAAACACCTCTGGGAACTCCTTCAAGACTGTTGGAAAACCATTTCAGGTGACTACCTCTTGAAGCTCATGGAGAGAATGCCAAGAGTGTGCAAAGCAGTAATCAGAGCAAAGGGTGGCTATTTTGAAGAAACTAGAATATAAAACATGTTTTCAGTTATTTCACCTTTTTTGTTAAGTACATAACTCCACATGTGTTCATTCATAGTTTTGATGCCTTCAGTGAGAATCTACAATGTAAATAGTCATGAAAATAAAGAAAACGCATTGAATGAGAAGGTGTGTCCAAACTTTTGGCCTGTACTGTATATTATGACCTTTTCTCTTGACAGATCTGTATCCCTACGTGTTGTACCTGGTGGATATGTTATTTGTGTGCCTGATTCCTGTCTGGATATTCATCTCCCTCAAACATCCAGCCAGTCGCATCCTGCTCCGCACAGGCTGGGAACCAATTATCACAGCGATGGTCATCAGCAGGTACTCACCTCAGTCTCTAAACTGACTTCTTCAAAAGCATGCGCATGTATTCACACTGCTTGAACTCTGTACATTTAAATGTGCTGTGTTTATAAATTTAGTAAATTTAATGTTTTTCCTTGGCATTAAAAGGTCCAGTCCCCCAGTCATCTCCATCCCATCACTGTTTGTCAAAATACAGATTTTTACAATGGCGATTTATGTCTTGTTTTTTTGTTTATTAGTATTGGAGGAGTTATTCTGGACAAAGCTGTGACAGATCCAAACCTGGCAGGAATTATAGTTTATGCTCCAGTTATAAATGGTGAGTTGTCCTCTTATAAAAGTGAATTTATTGGCTACTTCTTTTTGCAAAGATAATAATAATAATAATAATAAACTTTATTTATAGAGCACCTTTCATGCACGAATGCAGCCCAAAGTGCTTGAACAAAGCAATATCAGAAACAACAAAACAACAACAGTTAAAAACAACACATCAGTTTAAAAAACATCAACAAAACAAAACAATAACAGTGATAAAAAATAAAATAAAATCAACCTGTATTAAAAGCCAAATTAAAAAGATAGGTTTTCAATTTCTTTTTAAAAATAGCTAAGGAGTCTGCCATTCTCAGATCTAAAGGGAGAGTGTTCCATAGTTTAGGGCCATAAAAACAAAAAGCAGCTTTACCGGTTCTCTTGTGGGACACCTTGGGAACAACTAAAAGACAGGCAGTGGAGGATCTGAGAGTTCTTGTTGGGGCATAAGAAGAAAGGCAATTGCTGATATAAGACGGTGCTAAATTATTTAAGGCCTTATAAGTGAGTAACAGAACTTTAAAATCAATCTTAAAAGAAACAGGCAACCAGTGCAATGATGCAAGCTGAGGACTAATGTGATCTTTTTTTTTTGTATTTGTTAAAATCCTGGCTGCAGCGTTCTGACTGACTTGTAGTTTCTTCAGTGACTTTCTAGGGAGACCAGTTAAAAGGGAATTGCAGTAGTCCAAACGGCTAGCGATAAAAGCATGTACAAGTATTTCAGCATCATCCTGAGTTAAAAAAGGTCTAATTTTGGCAATGTTTCTAAGGTGAAAAAATGATGTTTTTGCAATTCTGTTAAAATGGCGACTAAAATTAAGATCAGAGTCTAAAATCACTCCTAGGCTTGTAACATGTGATTTAATCTGCTGGGACAGACTGCCAAACTTTGACTGAAGGTTCTGCCTTTCTTCTAGTGGACCAACAAGTAAAATCCCTGTTTTCTGCTCGTTTAGCTTTTAAAAAAAATTGTTCACTCAGATGTTAATATCTGTAAGACAGGAAAAAAGACTGTTTAACGCACTAGGGTCTCCTGATGAAACAGAGATATATAATTGCACATCATCTGCATAACAATGATAATGTACATTATGAAGACTAATTATTTTACCTAGAGGGAGCATATATAAAGAAAAGAGGATCAGACCAAGGATGCTCCCCTGAGGTACACCATACTCAACATCAAATGTCTGTGATACAGAATCAAGATGAAGATCTAAAAAAACATTTCAATTAACAGTCATGGATAAAACTTTAAGCTACACCTCGCCTCAGAGTACTTAACCATTTTTCCATTGCGACATACACTCCCTGTTGTCACCGCACTCCCCATGTAGTGTAAGAATAAGCTTTAACTGCATAGAGTGATTGAAATCATAAATCAGTAGATATACACTGGCATAAGGTGATTAAGTTTGAAAATGCCTGTTGAAGTTAATATCCCTGCTTACGCATTGTTTTTATGTAATCATGTATTGTACTCACACACACTCTGTCCTATGTTGCATAAAGACATGTGGAACTAAAGTAAGGAGTGCCTAGAGCTACCAGTGTTAATGTATAACCAGTGTTTCTGAGTTAATGTGCACTCAGTGTTAATGTATAGCCAGTGCCAGCATCTCGGCCATCTGTAGGGGCCTCTCAGCTATTTTTATAGGCTTGGATTTGGACACCAATATGTCTCACATCCAGATGGCGTGGAAAGAATACACCAATAGGATTGGACTCAACCAAAAGGGAAAAACGTGCCACCAATGTGTTCGGGCTTAAGTGAGCAGGATTAAGGGAAAAAAGGTAGAGATTCAGCAGAATCTTCACCAGCATAAAAGAAAGCGCACAGAGAGTGAAACTTCAGTCCTGCTCTGGAGATTGACTCATTGAGTTGTATGTGTTGTTGCCTGTGAACACATTAAACTCGGTTGCACCTGATTCTAAGTGTCTCCAGTGGTTTTCTCAACATTAGCTATTTGATTCTAAGATACTTATTTGAGTAGAAGGCGAGTCCAACCAAATAGTTGAAGATAAGGTCGGGAGCCATCAGGCCCAGCTCCAGGCACCGAATTCTGCTTCATCACCCACCACCATGGGACTCTCCGGTGGATCCGCAGAAATGTCACCTCTCCTCCATTTCGAGATACTTGTTACTCTGTAGGGCCCTAAAATACCTTTAGCTGACTTCACCAAGATGAACTGAACAAATACTTTGACATTTCTGTTTAAAGTTGCAATTGAAAACACAGCAAAATCTGTAGTGGACAGCCTGTCGATTGTGTGTACATATGTGTACGCTCTGTATCTGTGTCAAAATGACCTGTAGTAGAATTTACAAAGAATGAACATTTAAAAATGACTACTGCTACTACTACTAAAAACCTTTATGTAAAATTTAAAGAAGTTTGTCTGTTTATGGGATGCTCATCAGATGTCTGTGCCCCAGGTAACTGGTTCCCAGCTGGGGGTCCTGACCCCCACTAGGGGCCCCTAAAGGCTCACAGGGGGTTACGAGGCCTTTATGACTTTAAGTGGTGTAAGAAGATAAGAGATAAGATGAGATAAGATAAGATAATCCTGTATTCATCCCACTGCGGAGAAATTTGCAACATTACAGCAACAAAGAGATAGTTCAAACAGGAAGCATCAGTAAAAAAGTAAAACACAAAGCAATGTTCTCCCCGTGTCAGCGTGGGTTCTCTCCGGGCACTCCGGCTTCCTCCCACAGTCCAAAGACATGCAGATTGGGGACTAGGTTAATTGGTAACTCTAAATTGTCCGTAGGTGTGAATGTGAGTGTGAATGGTTGTCTGTCTCTATGTGTCAGCCCTGTGATAGTCTGGCGACCTGTCCAGGGTGTACCCTGCCTCTCGCCCGATGTCAGCTGGGATAGGCTCCAGCCCCCCCGTGACCCTCAAGAGGATGAAGCGGTTAGAAGATGAATGAATGAATGAATGAATATATAAATGTGTAAAGCAATTTAACTGTATAAAAACAACAGTATGAAAACACAAAACAATATAGTAAGGAAGCTTAAAAAAGAAGCAGACTATAATAAAAAGACAGACTGAATGACTGATTTTACATTATTATCTATACATTATTATAGATATTGCACAGTTTAACAATAATGATAATGCACCTGAGTAACTGATTGTAAGCAGTAAAAAAATAAAAGCAAGATATACTACTACTACTACTACTAATAATAATTATTATTATAATAACAATAATAATAATAACTAGTCCATACCCATTGCGTGCACAGTTGCCCATGTACAGTTTCACATGGTGTGTGTTTGGGATACAGGTTATATGAAATTGCAGATGAAATAGTCAACTAAACCCATTAAGAAGAGCAATGTATTCAGACAGAGTTTTTGTGAATGTGAAAGTATGATTGCTTTATTGAAAGTACAGTAGTACCATTGCAAATAGTGGGATAGTTAGTGGGCTAAAACTGTACATTAGTAGTTGAGTGTTTATATGTTGTACTGACTTAAAAGTGGGGCGCACTGGTAGCTCACATGGGAAAGGTGCGGCTAGCCCTTGTTGCAGCAGCATACCATTCCATGCCTTAGTCATACCAAAAATTAGAAAAAAAAAACAAAAAACATTTGGCCACAGGGGCAGCCATAGCGATCGGTCGCATTTTAGCCATTTTTAAGCATTTTTTCTGTTGTTATAGCACCACCCAGTTGCCAATTAGAGTTAAATTTCTCCAGTCACCTTGAGGCGTCCTGTTCTACATATCTACCAAGTTTAGTAAAAATTGTTATGGCGGTTAGGCCTAGATAAGAAATAAGCTCTCTAGCGCCCCCATTTTGTTTGATGGGGTCAATAATGGAGGGGTCCCCTCAGATTATGTGTGGTCATATGCCTACAAAGTTGCGTGGTGATCAGTGAAACCCTTGAGATGTTATACACCTTTATGTGATGAGCCACGCCCTCCGCAATATTCATTGCCTTATAGAAGTTCAGTTTTAGTAAGTTTTCCAACTTTTGCCAAGAGGGAACTTTAGATATTGGTCCCTAGATTATGTTCACCGAGTTTCATGCAGATCGGTCAAACTTCCTAGGAAGAGATCGATTTCAAGTGTTTTTCAAAAAATTCAAAATGGCGGAAAATCTATGCAACTGGAAGTTATGGGTTCTTGAGTCAATTTTTTCCTCATGAGGAGAGGCATCTCTGTGCAAAGTTTCATGTCTCTTCGACATATGGGGCATGAGATATGCCCATTCAAAGTTTGCAATTTCAATCGATTGCTATAGCGCCCCCCTTTGGCCAATTGATGTAATATTGCTCCATTCGCATCCTCCCATGACCCTCTACCACTGTGCCAAATTTCTCATGGATTGACCAAGTCAGTGAGGAGAAAAACATGGAACAGACACAGACACACAGACACACACACAGACAGAGTTTTCGTCATTATATAGTAAGATTCAAGATATTAATTTAAAAAAATCTCACAGGATGAGGGCATGGTGAGGACCTGAACACAAGCTACATTCACAGAGCCCAGGTGCATGTTTAAATTCAGTAAAGGGAAACTCTGCCAGTTTTACTCTTCAAAGTCTGTTTACAGTTCCAGGGAGTACTGTGTGTAGAAAAAGTTGATTGCTTCCTTTTGTGGCTTTAGCGCAGCTCTGTGAAGTCTACTGAATTCCTTCCTTTTCTTTCCAAATCAGGTATTGGAGGAAACCTCGTCTCCATACAGGCCAGTCGCATTTCTACTAATTTGCATTTGAATTACCCACCCAGAGAGGTTCCCGAAGATCGTAAAGGCTGCTTCAACCCCTGCCGCACTTTCTTTGGCTCAGGTAACGATCCAATGGTCAAAGTATTTAAATAAAAACAGCCAGTTGTCCCTTCACCTGATAAACACACACCACACAATACACCCAGTGTGATGTTCAGCTTTGTCCTGGCAGGAGCGAACCATCGATCTGCTCAGATTCTGCTTTTGTTGGTGATCCCTGGTCAGCTCATCTTCTTATACACTATTCACCTGATGAAAGGAGCCAACACATTGCCCAGTCCTCTCCTGACTGTCGTCTTCTTGGCTGCATCTGTGATTCAGGTGGGTCACACCACATGTGGGGTAATTTTTCCTCTGCATCACTTCATCAGTGTTTTACAATATCACTCGTGTCTGTCTCTTAGGTCTTCACCCTGCTTTGTATAGCCGACTGTATGGTCCACTGTCTGTGGCGTAGGGGTAGAGACCCTGACAGTTACGCAATACCCTACCTCACCGCCCTTGGAGACTTACTGGGGACCGCTCTCCTCTCTCTTGCCTTTGTGCTGCTGTGGTGCATTGGAGATTCGGGCAGTGTGTAAGTTTGAAACAGGAAAAGACTTGAGGACGAACAAAGGAGCCTAGATCTTAGCCAGCTCTACAGTTTCCTGGCTTACAAGATGTTTACTAATGCACGAGGAAATAACACCCCGGCCGCTTCAAAAACACCTAATCATCACACATTTATCACCTGTAATCTCCCCCGAGCCCCATTTCTCTCTGTCTCAGAGACAGAGGCCTACATGAGATATGGTGGGACCCCAAATGAATGAGGATATGAAAACAATACTTTTTAGGCAAGGAGAGGCAGCTTTATGAGTATAGCACATTTCATACACCAGGGCAATTCAAAGTGCTTTACAGAGCAATAAAATACAAAACATAATAAAGGATACAGATTTACAATAAAATAGTGCAGAGAAAGAAATTTAATTAAATCAATTTATAATAAATGAAGTAAAATTAGCGACAAAATGATTCACAATTTTAAAAATTAACCATTAAAAATAGCACAAAGTGCAGACAAGAGGTGCAAAGATATCAAGATTATTTAAGATTATTTAAATTCAAGTTTAAAAATGAGGTTGCAGTCATTACAGGGTGGAGTAGGCAGTGTAAAGAAGGAACGTTTATAGCTTTGACTTAAAAGTGTTCAGAGTTGGGGCTTATCTAACATCATCTGGGAGGTATTCCGTTTGTGGTGCATGATAAGAAAACGCTGCTTCTCCATGTTTTGTCCTGACACTTGGGATGGTCTGTAGGCCGTCCCCAGATGTCTTCAGGGTCCTAAAAGGTTCATATGAGATATATTTGGGCGCTGAGACACAGAGTGATTTTATACACAAGCAGCACGATTTTGAAATCAATTAGGTAACTAAAGCCCTCAAACATCCCTTTTCATCAAGGAATTGTTACAGTAAGACCCTGACATACTAGGGGTTGCAACGGTTTGAGAATTTCATGGTACAATAACCGTCTTGTCTCAGAAAATATCACGGTTTCACGGTATCGTGATACTACAGAATTTATATTATTATCAATGAGAATGACATCTAAAAGAATGAAAATAGAAGAGTTACTTTACTATAACTGAGACTTGAAACCATTTTGTTAATGGAAATATGTGTAAAAAGTCTCCCCTTTGAAAATAACTAAAGTAAAGGGGAGATTTTCCGTCTAGTAGCATTTGGTTTTTCATCAGTATTTTCGCACACTGGGCCAAGTGTGACATTGACGAGCGGAAGGATTCAGCGCCTTGAGCTGAAAAGTAAAGAATATTTAAAATTTTATGAACATATAAAAATTGTTATAAAAACACCAGTCAAGAGAGCAGCACACACCAGGTGCACTGTGCAACAGGAAGTCAATGGTTCTGCTGGCGGCACATTTCTAGCAATGTGTGTCGGTGTGATTAGGGCCTAAGGTTAGCTTTGGTAGACATAGTTTCTTGTTTAGGACCCAATATCCAATACAGTTCTCACATATATATAGCTGGGTGAAGAATTACCTTATTTTACACCAATAAAAAACATATCCTTATATGGTCGTGCTCTATAAGTTGTTATTCACAATATATTTGTGTCTGGTCAAGCAATATGCTATTCAGCTGTCAAGTATGTCCTGAGTAATCATGTTTTCATTTTTGGTATTGTATTTCTCTGTTATTGTCTTACAGGAGGCAGACATTAAACACTGTGCGAGTTATATTTTATATTATATTCCAAAAACACATCAGACATTATAAAAAAAATAAATGATAAACCTTGATCATGAAATGACTATGTATATTTCTCACACCGTGGCACTTACTCTGATAATGGAGATGGCTTTGTCGTGAAAGTGTAAAGGCGCTGACACACCAAGTTGACGGTTAACCATTGTTCAATGTTGGGCTGGTGCTGAGCATCTGTTGCTCTAGTCTTTGGGGTGTGTCCTGCACAACTGGTCCTTGTCTGCCCTCGCTGGCATTTTTTTCAGCCAATACAGTATGTTAAACTGACATTGGAGATGGTGGAGCTTGTCTGTGAATGAAATTACTTTGATTGGCAGTGCAGCTCAGTGCACAAGAAGAGAAACGGAAGTGAGGAAAGTAAACAAAGAGCTAAAGTCAAGATGAGTGAGACCAAAACGAATTTGTTCCAGAAGGTAAGACTATATTTCTTTAGCCACTGAGCTCTTTAGCAGAAACATTTTGTGACGGTTTGTGTTACTGTTCATTGGCATACAGTAAATATGCTCTGTTCTTCCAACATTGGATCGTGTAGTTAATGTGCTAACTGGCTAACTAGCATCATGATGTGCTTCCATTTTCCCTCTTTGAATGAGGATTACAGATGACTGCCTTCTGTTGGCGTGAGGAGTTATTTCCTCTCAGGCAGGCACAGAACGTACGTAATGGTTGGCCGTTGGTTGTAGTCTTTGCAGTGTGTTCAAATGCAAATTTTTTGGCAGAGACACAGGCGACGTGAGGCGATACAACAGTGGGCTTTTGTCATGTGGAAGTTTGAACTGAAGTATACTGAAATGGAGCATACTGTAATTGAACTGGTGGTAAACTGTGTAGGAGGGTAAAGGTCACCGTATCAGTGTCATCCACCTTGGGGAAAAGAGCTACACAGCACACTGGGAATAGCCCGCATGTTATGGCAGTGTCTCACGCATGCGGGTTATGTTTCATGTAGGTTTACTGGTCAGACATGATATATCCTGATGAAGCAAAAATCTATGTCTGAAGCTGGGTCAGATGGCTCCAGACCTCGCCCTCAATGCCTTTGGTTGAACTCGCCTTTACTCAAATTGTATCTTAGAATCAAAAGGATGGTACTCAGAAAATCACAGGAGACACATAGGGCTCTAGTTTCCCGGCGCAGCGCAGGTGGGCGAACCCCGCGCAGAGCTAGTTTCAAGCAGCGCAACCAAAGGCGCGCTCAGTTTGGTAGTTTGGCAGACCGAGGTGCGCTGAGATGGGTGTGGCGGCTCAGCAGGGGGAGGTGTCGACAGATCCAGCTTGGCGCAGTGACAGTTTCGTGCCAAAAGGCTTCGCTGAAGGTGCACTAAAAGCTCGCCATCTGAAACCAGGTCTACTGTCAGCGCAGGGGGAGCGCAGCCGGTGTAAGCCGAAGTTTGGCTGACTGGCGAACAGTGCACACACGTCACCAAAATCTCACAGGCAGGTTTCCAGAATATCAGGCACATTAACAATGCAATAAATAGCCACAAAACCACTATTCAATACAACTATCTGCAATCAGCACATAAATGTATCTCTATATCGACTGTCCCGTCACATCTGATGTCAGATCAAAGGGGATTGGCACCGTTTGGCACGTTTGGCATGCGTAATGGAAACCCAACCTGATTTGATTAACACAGCCTGAAAATTAATGAGTTCACATCCCTCTCAGCCAACCACAAACAGCCACAGCATCACATAGGGAGTATATATTCAGGATCTGTCATCTTAGAAAAGTCAAAAGAAAAGAAACAGAGTGAGACTGCGAGAGAGAAAGAGAGAGAGCGCGCGCGCACAAGAGAAACGCAACATTGATTTATGATTGTGGTGACCTCCTCCCAGGCTACCTTTGCATCATCAGCCCGTGGAGGTCTGCTCGCAGTTCTGTATATTCGGACACTGCGAGCTTGGACCTCCCGGACCAAAACATATAAGTTTCCTCCTGGGAGAAGTTTGGCCGTCTGACGCTGCTGCTCTCTCCTGCCATGGCAAATTGAGTAAACTGTCATTACGCCTTCGCGCGGCGCATTTAAGGGCGAGGAGAGGGGCTCATTTGATTGGTGTGATATGTGTAAAACCCACTCTGCGCCTTCTCTCCTCCCTCTTTCCAACTTGCGCCGGTAGGAGGGACGGAGGTGGGAAAGAGGAGTAGCTGCGCCAGGGGGCGCACGGTGTGCCAGACTTACAAAATCCGCCTGGCCACACCCAGTTGGCGAAGCGCAGGTGCTATCTTCTTCACACAGCACGTGGCAACTTGTATGAGTGTCGCTATAAGTTCACAACATCATGTGAGTGTAGGTTAATGCATTATATCATTACACAGCTCGTGATAGGTTATGTGTGTCAATAAGAGTTCACAACTGAGATGTCACTAAGAGTTCACACCGTTATATTGCATATTACACATGAATGCAGGATTAGTTTTTGCAAACGTCTACACACTAACATGGTTATATAGCTATTTGTATCTTATCCTACTTATATGGTCTAACACCTGATGAGGGTTTTTACTTTTACACTACAGCACACACACATAGTAGTACATGTTGGCTGAGGTAAAACAAATATGCACCCCAATATAGGCATAATAGTCACTACAACATTCACTTCAATGTCACAGGGACACTCTGTATAAATCCAATAGTCACAGCATTATTCCATTTCACGTATGGGTATTCACCATATACAGTACAGGCCAAAAGTTTGGACACACCTTCTCATTCAATGCGTTTTCTTTATTTTCATGACTATTTACATTGTAGATTCTCACTGAAGGCATCAAAACTATGAATGAACACATGTGGAGTTATGTACTTAACAAAAAAAGGTGAAATAACTGAAAACATGTTTTATATTCTAGTTTCTTCAAAATAGCCACCCTTTGCTCTGATTACTGCTTTGCACACTCTTGGCATTCTCTCCATGAGCTTCAAGAGGTAGTCACCTGAAATGGTTT